CCTAAGGTTAACTAATGAGGTCTTATTGTAAAGTGATACCTATTGGTCTGTATAGTTCTTTTGCACTTTCATCTGTGTAAAACTTTTAACTTTATACATTTTTCTGTATTGCTTTATTGCATTTAACTGTTCAGTTATTTTTGTTATAAGAAAAAAGTTATTAAACCTGTTATACTGTATTATGACAGCACTTTTTTTAAACTAAATTTCAACACCGTGATAATACCGTATACCGTGATAAAAGCATGAGCAATTAATCGCAACATGAAAATTTGATTTAGCATATCCCTAGTACGCGAAAACTGCGTATCATATGTACGCCAACAAATTTCGTATCATATGCACGCGAAAATTGCATATTATATGCACACCAAACACCTGCTTATCATATGCACGCCAAAGTCCATTTTTGCATATCAATACCACGAGTTTTCGTTTTTATTAGGCGTACTAATGTTGGCGTCGACGAAGGGCAGGTAGCTGCTGTGGTAGACAACCGTCTTCACCTCAGCGATCACAACGTTCTTACTGATGGGAGTGTTGTAGATCGTTCCCATCAGAACCCGCCAGCGTGAAACATGACGATACCTCCTGAGGATACAGGCACCAAATTGGTTCGTGCGCTTGCGCTTGCGCCTGCCTCAAAAGAGGGCTTACAATGACTTACAAAGATACATAACAGCTACAAGTGTATGCACTACTTGCTTTATGCACACGCCAAAGTCCATTTTTGCATATCAATACCACGAGTTTTCGTTTTTATTTGGCGTACTATTTATACGCATTTTCATGAGACCGGGCTCCATATACGTATAACTATAAATGCATTGACACAGGAATCACAGGTAACAAATTATCACAACTTATTCAGTTTTTGTAACTTATTATGGCCAAATAGTTTCAGGCATATTCTCAGTAACAAGTTTTCCATTAGTAACTCAGTTGCAAATTGACAACATTTATGTGCACTCATCTCTTAAATATGATCATTCTGACATGACATGAAGGCAGCCAATGTACCACACGCTGTCAATTACTACACAGACAACAATACATGACCCTCAGTGTTATGAACAAACAGCAAATGTGTTATAGTAAATGGAAGCTTAGCAGGTAAGTGGGCAGCATCATAAATAAACATGCAACTTTCTATATAACTATATTTTGTACAATTTCCTAAAAGTATAACCATCGTAACTGAAACATGCTAGAATGATAATGAAAAGTGCTATTTAGTATTATATACTATCGTAATACTTATTCATATTTTTAATAGGCTTTTTAAAAAAAAAATGTATTCTGTTTAGATTTAATCTATATATTTTTTTTCATCTAATGTTTACAGTATATTTTACTTATTGTATTATTTTATTTAGCAAAGTTCTAGTTAATCTTGTGAAAAAGAAGTGTACTTTAGCATACTTTATAAAAGAGTTCTTATGGAAATAATAGGCCTATACTTTAAAAGAAAATACTTAAGTGTGAATCGAATGTAATGTTTTCAGACCCTTAATTGCATGTTATTTACAATTGATTCAAATTATAGTTTACATTTATATTAAATGCAATTAACTGAACTTAAGGGTGCTTTTTTAAACCACTTAAGTAGGTCTTCTTTATATGTAATTTTAAAATAATTTCTTGTCTTTGTGTACTTTCTAATATACTTGTAATTTTAATTGAAACCTGTATGTCATGTTTTTAAATATATTTGTAAATATATACATTTCTAATGAAGTTGCAATTGGAACATTTAAAATATATTGCATTTTAATTGTAATATTGAACAGTTACATTTATAAACAAACTGCTTTAGTATGTTAGTCAACACATCAAGTGTACTTCTTTACAGCTTGACGAAAGATTATTGAAATGATTTAAAATGAACTTTAAATTAAAACTTTTAATTTGACATCATTATAAAGTGCACTTTTTTAGAGTGCGCTAAGAAACAATCATGAATGTGTACTTTCTTTAAATACACTTAAGTAGCGTTTTATTTCTTTTAATACTATATTATTTGCAAGTACCTTTTTTAAATAAAATATTCTTAAAGATTTGTACACTAAAAGAAGTACACTACAAGTGCGCATTTAATACGATTAAGCACACTTCTTTTTCACAAGTGATAACAACACTGGAATGATGTGATAAAGCCTGTTAGGCTTCTATCACAAGTAAGTGTATTGACTGATAATTGCTAGCTGGTGACGCATGCGGTTCATTCGAGCACAGCAACACCATCACAGGTCACTGACACAAAGGTCAAAGCCAGACAGACAGACTGATAGACAGACAGACAGACAGACAACAAGTCTCCATTTTCAGGTAAAGAATGATAAACAGTGGAATACAGCACTTCAAAAACACAGCATGAGATTACTAACCATAATACTCCATGTTACCCCAGCCGGTTACTGTACCCATCTGCCCATCTGCCAAACGGTGGCCGTAGGTAGGAAGACACACTGGCTGGATATAATCTAAAACACCAAAACAAATGATGTCAACTGAGAAGAAAACCGTTTCACACGGTCAAACGCAATACTATAAAAGGACACTAGAGGGAACGATGAGCAATTTTTTGCTGCTAATACTCAATTTCCTTCGATTCACATTGGGAAAAGATACATTTTCAGAATCAAATCCAACATATTCCCTACAACATTCTAGTTAATGGTTACAGAAACCTGTGGAGATGAGGAAAAGCTTTGTCCTTCTAGAAAATTCTGCCCGTATTGTCTTCTATTTCAACTCAAGGCCCCTTGGAAATAGAGGAGCTTTGTTCTCAGGACGAGCAACCTGAGACCGGAGCGAGGTTTTACTATAATACTGCTGTTTAGTCAGACTTGTAACATACCAGTACTTAATGAAAAACACCTCAAAACAGACTGTGATTAAACTGCTGCCAGTAAAGATTTGTCTTTGTACAGAGCCATTTCTTGTATGAACACATTCTTTTATGAAAATACTTTTGTATTGAAATGCCTGCCAACACAACACACAAAAAAACTCAGCATGACATTTACAGCAACATTTAAAATATAATTTTAATCAGAGAGGTAAAAGCACAAGTTTCCAGTAATTTTTCTGTCCAAACTGAAAGCAAATATGCATAGTCACAGCCAGTCAGAACATATGTGACGTTTAATTAGTGGCCATACATGCTGTTTTTCCCGGACAAGTCCTGGCCAGGATTTCTATATTGCCTAAAATATTCAGGTTTTGGCTTTGTTTTCCTGTTTCGTACTTGCTGAAGGTAATGATCGAAAAGTAGTTTGTCCAATAACATGCAGGCATTGTACATAATCGACCAATCATGGCGCGTGAGAAGGTGGGATCTACAGAGAAGATGGTGGGATCTCTCAAAGCGATGCAAATGCACACACATATTAGGTGTGTTCAACTTGAAGCGATTCAAAGTACCGTGAGAGCGATTTGAAAGCATAAGTAGCCGTCTGCTCTCTATAGCTCTCATGGTACTTTGATGTCATACACTATTCGGTCTGTGCAGCGCAAACAAAGCCAAAACCTGGATATTTTAGGCAATATAGAAATCCTGGCCACTCCCCCTAGCTCCCCCGTAGTTCGCACCCTGACTGAAACATCAGTTTTGTTAAGTGCGCACGTGTTCGCTGACTGAATTCCGGACTCTTGCAAATTCTCTCATCATAAACAACAAAGCGCAGATGTACGTACAATGTAAGTAAGAGATTCATTTCACAGTGTATACAGCTTCAGTGATTATAACGATAGTTTAGTTTTTTTGAGAGTGCTTAAACTCGCAATAGATCAATGTTAGTGATATTGTCACTTTCTATAAATAATTGATTCGCTGTTTGAATAACCGTGGAAAGGAAACGTTATATAATTATCAATTTCTAACATTTTTATTAAATTGTAATCACGTTAAATACAAATTTAGTCCCATTAAAAAAACTGTTTAGCCTACATGACACCCATGTCTGGTTCTTGCCTAAAAAGACGGGTTTATGATGTTTAATACATTTGGCTGCTTTTAGCCTTACCTTGGAGTTGGTTCACCCTCCGCCTATGGTTGCTAGCATGTTTTAGTAAATATAGTAGTAAAAAGTGTATGTCACTCACTCAGGAAAGCAGTGAGCAGCACTGATGATCCAGCGATCTGAAATGATGGATCCACCACACTGATGAACTCCATCATACTGTAAGCTGACCTGCCATGGCCACGAACCCTGACGAGCATCCACTCCCCCCACGATCCGCTCTTCAGGCAGCATACGACGACCACAGTCTACAGCGATGGAGAGCGAACAAATCACAAACCATTTGCAGTGCAAATATTCAATATGCTACAAATATGCTTGTGTTGTGGCACTTACCCTGACAAATCACCTCAATTATCTGACCTTTGTCACATTTACTGAAACAGAAATGAAACATGAAGAATGTTTTAGAGAGCTTACCGGTTTTAAGCCTTTAGTTATTGTTTATTTTTTGTTTGCCAGATTAAAGTTCAATCTGATACACTATTAAAGAATGAGTGTGTCATTTCTTCACCACTAGTAAAACCAAACAAGACTGTGATATGTTGACTGGGCTGGTCATAGCAGCAATGGCTCTTTTCAAGGACTTTTGACAGATGTCTCTTATGCTCATCAAGGCAGCATTTATTTGATCAAAATTACAGTAACGACAGCAATATTGTGAAATATTATTACTAGGGGTGCTCCGATTGATCGGCTACTGATCACAATCGGCCGATAATCGCTTTGGGATGATTGATCGGC